CGAGCATCAGAGATCAAGTTTTCAAGATTTGCTCTTCCTTCGTTTCCCAATACTTCTCTAGCTGGTGACAGCGTGTGATGTCTTTGCATTCTCAGTCCATAGTTTGACCAGCACAGAGTAAGGAGATAATTAAGATGGCCACAAGACTGTGGAAGGCCTGATCCAGAGTTAAGAAAGGGTGATTGTCAGTTTCAAGAGCAGACTCTTTGCCATAAGACAACTCTCTGTTTCTATAGTTGTCCAGACAACAAGGTCAAAGGCTTTCTTAATTACACATCTAAGTGGCAAATGTGTGACACGATTTTTGCATGGAAAAGTCACAAACACACATGAACTTCTAATTTTAAGTTTAATATAAATTTCTGCTACGAATATTTGATGATATATGAAATGTTGGTGAGTTAAAGAATTATGAGAATACTTTATTTCTGTGCAATAAATATTCTCATTTGAACCTTAAATTATTTTACAATGCACATAAAAATGATTACCTTCATTCTTTATGGCTGTGCTAGCCAGCACAAATGTTTCACAGGGGTTTAAATATGACATGTCCCCAGGTATACCATCTATTCTACATATCAAGAGACTAACAAGACATGGTTGCCCACAAAGTTAAGGTCTGTGTAGCTCCTGATATGCATTCCTTAAATATTTGTTCTATGAAAATATCGTCTTACCGGGCTTAGCTGGAAAGAATGGAGTCACACAAGAACAGAACTCCAGTGTAAAGAAGACAAAAGAAACATAAGTGATATACATTTTTACAGTATCATAATGAGTGTTGGTGTGTCTCAGCACCATCTGTTTAGGTAATTAAGAACAAATATTGAAACGCCAGGACACCTCTCAGCAAGAAACAAAGTTGAATCTGTAGAGGATTCATGAAAATATGTTGAGACCTCACTCAAACTCCCCAAAGTATATTCACAGATAAAGACTGTTTGCTTCTTTTTTTTTTAATTGTTTGCTTATCACAGGGATTACAAAAAAAAATCTTGGCTTTTTGCCAAAGTCTATATAAACTTACTCAGAGAGGAAGGAGAGTGAACAACAGAGAATAGGTAGTGTTGTTGGTAAGATGGGAAAATCATCACAGGTATCTGCAGAACAGACAGAGAAGAGGTAAGGTTCAGGAAAACCTTAAGGTGAGCTCGTTCCTCTGGAGTAACTTCCTTGTGTGGACCCACAGGCCTTTTGCTGTCCTCTTACAGTGGACTGCAGTACTTAGCAATCAAAGAGTTAGTGTCCAGTTACCTAAGTTCACTCTTCTCCCTTGCTTTTGGTTGTTTAGATATGTTTGCTTTCTCCTTTAGAAACCTTTTCTTTCTCTGCTCAAAACCATTGCTTTCCCTTTTCTAATAGTCTTTAAACAAGTATGCAACAAGTTTCTCATTCTAATTGAAATTATTAAAAATATCATACTTATGTCATTCCACTTGATACTCAATACCTGTTTGACTTTCAGCATATTTGATGTGTACCACCCAAAAGGTAAGATGTTTTATGACTAGCAAGTCTCTGAACTCTCCCCACATATGATGAATGAGTTTCTCAAATTTTATTATATTCCATCCTGTGATTGGAACAAACACATGAGAATAAAAGTCTTTTCTTAGTATTTAGATCTGACAGCACAAATACTATAGAATTACAGACACATGTTGCTTGTCTGCTGTTTTATGCCCCATGACTTAAGGAAGTAACCATATCTTTGCAATGAACACACAAGCAAAAGCACTTTATGTTTCCTTGGTGGCTGCCTGCTAAGAAGGGAGATGCAGATGTTCCAGATATCATTGTTTCAAGTGTGAACAGGGAAGCATCCACGCCAGTACTCATGGAAAGTTTTTTATGAGAGGTTGGTGAGCTATACCTTTGACCAGCTCATCCCAAAGTACTTTTCATAACATTTCCAAGTGACGACAGAGGCTTCTGGGTCAATCTGTGAAAATGTGTGAAGAAGAACCATATGGGGAGAAGAATATAAGAGGAACCTTGGAGAGGTGAGGTCTGGGCACCAGTCAGACCCATCAGGAATATATCTGTGGTGTATTTCAGCCTTGTTTAAAACTCCTTTGATGGAGTGCTAGATATGACCCTTGCCCAATTAAACCCACATTCCTGGGAAGAAATGTTTTCCATGGAGCTTCAATGTTCAATACTGTTTCAATTTTTCTAGGAAAAAAAAAGAAGAGGTTTCAAAAGACAGGAGACTGAGAGAAGTGGAAAGGAGGGAAGGAGAGAGGGAGCATGAGGGCAAGATCAAGAATATCAGAGTGCCAGGAATAAGAAGAATCAACCATTAAAAGATTACAATAAATATCATGACAGACGTGATATGAACATTAAGAACATAGTGACCCCAGAAGGTCTGTGGAAAGAAGTTTTTGCTACTCAATATTGGTTGCACCCTAGTGATTGGAAAATATGTTTAATGAATTTATAATTAAAATGTGTGAATTTACTTTCTAATGCTAACTAATCTCTGAATACAGATGTGTGGATCATAAAAGTACAATCAAATCAGTTTCAGAGTGTTTCAGTGATTTTGAGACTAGCTTTTGTCACATTGTATCTGTGTATCTATGTATCTGTAGAAAGACAGTAATAGAGAAGATTTCTGCTCTTGGCCAAGATGTATTTTCCCACTTAGGAATGTGTGTGTGTGTGTGTGTGTGTGTGTGTGTGTGTGTGTGTGTGTGTGTGTGTTTGTATAAATCTATTATTATCAAGAAACTAGGAGACTGGAGACTGACAGTGTGGCTGAATGGCAGAATAATTTGCCTCTGCAAATTATAGTCTTGACTTAAATCTCAATGCCAAAACTAAAAAGAAAGAAAAAGTTAAAGTAATGAAAAACAATATAGAAATCTTACATAGACATTGGTCCTTAATACATAAGAAATACTAAACCCTCATGTGAACACAACTTTATCCCTAGAAAGCTTCTTGTGAAGCAGATAAAGGGGAGAATGAAGGGTGGACCACTAGGTTTCCAGTTTTGGAGACTGAGACGGGACTATACAGATCCCTGGTGGACAGGCTAACAGGAAAGTGCCCCAAAGAAGAGTAGGCCACAAAGATAAAGCCCAGAAGGTCAGAAAGTCTGAAGGAAGAGATCCAAGAAGCTGTGTGTCACAAGAGTGGAGAGAGCCACACGTTGGAATTGCAGCGAGCTGTTCCTAACACTTCAGCAACTGAAAGTGACAAACATATCCAAAGGAAAATTAGTATTTTGCAAAATGAATTTAAAAATTACTCATAGGATTACCAGAATCAAAAATTTTCAACCAAACAAATGAAATGTGTATGCAAATAAGAAGGCAAACTTAACCAATGTCAAGGAGCATGGGACTTACTACAGAAGGAAGAAGAAACAATGCAAAAGGCAGAACTAATAAGAAAGGAGGAAAAGATGTTTTGCCATCACATTGTTTTGTTTAAAGGCACTAAAGGAGCGAAGCACCACGTTAACAGAGGACAAAGGCGAAAACACAAACAAACTGTCAGGAAAAACCACCGAGCACTAATTAACCTAAACAAGAAAACTACAATGTGGACAGAAAAGCATATTCTTAATCACACTGAAAACACTATTTTTTGAATAAAAATACAAGTAATTGAAGGATTAAAGGAAATGATTAAAATTTTACATCCAAAGAATTGTATAAACTACCATAGAAATATTTACACTCCCCATGTTTATCACTGATTTATTCATGATAGGAAAGAACTGGAATTAACCTAGTTGTCTGCCAACATATGAATGGATAATGAAAATTTGAATACTATTTGGAGTGAAAGAAAAGTGTAATCAAAAGCTTTGGAAGAAAATGGATACATTTAGAATGTACAATATTAAGAGAGATCATACAATCTTAGTGGTAAACTGCATGTTCTCCCGTCTATGTGGTAATATATGTTTATATACAAATAAACGTACATGCTGCTATATTCTAACACAAAGAATAAAGAACAAGTAGGAATATACATATTAGGGACAGAACAAATGTATAAATACAAGTTATGAAAGATGATACAAATCTAGTTTTAACTCTGTCATAGAATTTTTGTTTTTAGCAATCTAAAAGTACATAAAAATATATTCCATAATGAAATGTAAAATCCAATGCAAGACTACAAAGATTCCATTCTAACTTTATAGAAGCCCACTGAAATGTATAGACAGGGTCTGGATAATTGTGACATGTGATTTTCTTTCTTGAAATGCATAGATGTTTTATAATAAAGTTTGTAAAATTAAAAATAAGCAGAAAAAAGACAAATCTAAACAAATGAGAAAGATTAGATAGAAGAAAGATGAATAGAGATAGTAGATGGTATATAGAAGATACATGGTAGATAAGAGATTGGTAGACTGATGATTAGGTAGGTAGAAACTACAGATTCAAGCACCTCACTAGACTCCAAGAATAAACACTTACACAAAGTGATCCATAGCACAACATATCAAAGTACCTGCAGTCTTATGAAGGAGAAAATATTAACAACAGCCTGGTTTGCCTGGCAAAGTATAGGAAAAGGAGTGTCTTAACTACTGGCATCATCGTTGTAACAAAATACACAATAAAAGCAACATCTGGAAGGGATAATTTTGCCTCATCAGACCATCGTGCTTTCTATCATGACAGGGACGTTATAGTAGCATAACCTTGGGAAGGCAGTTGGCCACATTGCATCAGCAGTCAAGATACATAGGGAGATGAACCCTTGGGCTCAGTACACATTTTTTTTTTTAAATTCAGTCTTGTATCCCAGCCCACAAAATGATGCTGCCACCTCATGCAAAGCAAGTCTCCCCACTTAAACGAATCTAATCTAGATTATTCCTCACAAGCATGCCTACAGGTGATTCCCCTACTTGATCCTACATCCCAAGATGACAATCAATATTAATAACTACAAAAAAATTTAGAGAAATTACTAAGTCTTGCAACAAACCCAGGGAATAGTGTGCGCATAACTGTGCACCATACCTTCCTTCTGCCCAGCCTTGGCTCTGAAAGGCAACATTCACTGCAGTGTTGATGCTGGGTCTTCTGTGCCATCGTCCATGTAGCCTGACAAAAAGAAAATCATCAGAATCTCTAATACCTGCATTGTTAGAAGCAGCTTTCTCATATAATTAACACAGTCTAAGTATTTTATAACATTATTTACACAAAATCCTTTGCTTTAGATTGCATTGATGTCTTGGGTTACAGCTGAAAAAATAAAATTCTGATTATAATTATATGCACACTAGCAAATAGTTTCAAGTAATAAGGCCAGGAGACTTAAACTCTGAATATAATATTATTACTGTTAATAAATTATTGCCATTAAAATAAGAACTCAACAAATTATCAGAATAACAAGTAATCATCTAATGTCTTTGTTCCTGCCTATAGATACAAATTTTCACCTGTAATTTTTTCTCTTACATTGTGCCCCTTCTGCTGTCAGAATCAAAGTTACCAGGTGATTCAAGGTTTAATCTTCCTCAATGACCTCATTTTCAAAGACTTCATCAAAGTACAATATTCCTAGCAAAGGTACATTTTCTGCTTCTAGCAAAGTTTGAGAGAAAGAAAAAGCAGATAAAATATGAGAATCAAATTGATATAGAAATTCAATGTATATTAAATGAAACTCCTGGCAGTTCTTTCATAAAAACTTGTTGAGCTCACTTTAAAATGTGTAGAAATAAAAAGTTTGTAGAGTAGATCAGATAACTAAGTAAAAATTGTATTGGAGAACAAAAGCAGACTAATCTGTAAACTTATTATGAAATGATAATGATCTAGACAGTATAGTTATGGGTTAATGGCATAATTACCTAGACCAGTAGAAAGAAATAGGCTGTTTAAATATAGACCTACATGTACATGAACTGATTTTTCAACAAAGATGCAAAGTTGGGAAATGATACACTTAAATTCAATCATAAGTGTGTGGGCTGGGGCTACAGGTCAGCAGGTAGAATGTGTACACAGCATGTGTGAAGCCTTGGATTCAGTACCAGACCACATAAAGAACTCATTAGAGTGCATCCCTGTAATCTCAGCAGGTGACAACAAGAAGATGAAAAATCTAATCCATGCTTGGATACATAGGGTGGGCTATAGCAGCCTAGCTAGCATACATGGGACCCTGCCAAAAGGTGAATGGATGAATGAATGATGCTTGAATGATTAACTATATGTTATATTACTGCATATGTTTATATGACAAAATAAAGTTACAGGGCAAAAAGCAACTTTTGCAACTCAAAGTGGATGATGGCTTCAATTATAACAATAAATCATCTGGAAGAAAAGCATCTGTGACCTTGGATTGTGTAAATTTCTGGTATATATTTTTTCAAAAAATGATGCATTTAAACTCTTCAAAAATTAAAACTTTTAATTTCTAGTAGACATCTAGTAAATAGGATGTAGAATAAAGCCATAGGTTTGTCATTCAAAGATGGTGTAACTGATATCTACATAGATATCAATGTCCAATTGCTTGTATTCATATAATGTTGACTTAAACTCTGCATGTCATTGCATATATTGGAATAGCTCTCTGGACTATATCAATATGGTATTAGAATGTTGTGACTGCAAAGAAAAAGAAGGAACTAACACATCTAACAGAATGGATGGATCTCAAAGGATTTTATCTACATGCAATACAATGGGCTTCTCATCTCTCCTCATAAAAAAGCCCATGTAGTCTAATTTCAGTATTGAATTTTCTAGAAGTTTCAAAATGATCTCTAGCAGTTGACCAGACCAGCATTTCATGGAAGGAGGAGGAGGGGGAGGAGAAGGAAGAGGAGGAGGAGGAGGAGGGGGAGGAGAAGG